GTTTCTCCCTCAGAGAACACACCCCCTCCAGTGCTGCCGCCTCTCCCTGGGGCCTGTTCTGCTAAGAGTGTTGGCGTCTGAGTCCCACTCAAGGACTCGGTGTCTCAGCAGAAAATCATTGCAAGTGCAGCCTCAGGGCATCTCATTGGAGCAGGGGACCCTCTGAGACAGAAAGGTGTTCCTGAACTCAAGAAAGGAACCCGGCTGTTAGAGGGCCCCCTCCTCGAAGAGGCCCCGCCATGTGCTGGGGCTGAAAAGACAGTGAGACCCAGTCCCACCTCCAGACAGTTCAAGTTCCCAGCTTCCCGGCAGGTGCCTGCAGCAGCCTCCAATTATGCGCAGGCTGCCCCACCTCCGCTTAGAACAACAAGGGGTCCTGGACTCTGCGTCCACGGGCCCTGTCAGACAGGCCATCTGTGCCACTCCAGGTCCTGGCAGGAAGCAGATGGCACCCTCAGGTTGGGTAAACTGAGAGGCCCATCGGGGTAGGGAAACCGCAGACCAGAAGGAGCAGAAGGTAGGAGTGGTTACTGGAACTTCCAGAGAGAATTCTGGGAAGAGGGCCTCTGGCAGGAGCGCTGGCTTTTGGTTCAGGGATGCAACAAACCGGCCCTGAGACGGAGTAGAGAGGCGTTGGAGGGAAATAACTACCCTGATCGCTCCTCTCAGGCTCCCAGCTCCTGGCAGTGGCCAAAGGCAACTGGAAGGCGGAGGGCACAAGAAACAGCTGGCAGAGCCACCGAGGCTGGCGGGGCCCAGAGCGGATGGGGAAGAGGGGAGTGGATCTGGAGGGGCAAAAGGAAGCCATGGGGGGGCAGGTGAGGGGTGTTGAGGTGCTCTCTCTCCCTAGCAGTTCTAGCAGGAGGTGGGGCAGCCTCAATGGGACCCTTCTGCCTGGGGAGCCTGCGTTTTCTCTCTGTTCATCCTCCATGGGCCATAACAGGCCATGTTGCCCAGGAAGGAGGGAACCTGCGCCCATCCTGCCAGCTGTGTCTTGTCCCCTCTGCGAGGATCACACCCCTTCCTGATCCCTCGGGCTCCTCATGGCTTCCGGCAGCCAGGAGCTCTTCCCCTGTGTCTGTGAGGGTTTCATCAAGACTGTCTGCCCACCCCCCCCACCCCGGGTGCC